CAGTGGAACGGAGCGGTGGACACACTGGACTGGAGTGGCCGGCGAGTTATCCAGGCTCAGACCTCGCCCAGGAGAGGCTGGTAGCCATCTCAGAGGGCATGCAGCTGAGCTTGTAACTCAGAACAGCTGCAGGCAGACTCTATCTAGCGGCTCCCAGTGCCTCCGAGCGGGAGCTGAGTTCAAGTCAGCAGGAGGTCAGGGAGCAGAGTTCAAGCGAGCAGGAGGCACATCGACTATTGGAAACTCAAGGAATCTTGTTCCAGCTTCATAGGCCTGAACTTCAGAGGAACCAACAGGGCAGGCTGGCTGGGGTTATCCACTACCCCACTGGGAAGCTGTAGCTAGCTTGCCAGGATTAATCAATTTGGCTCTGGACTCTGCTTGCCCATACTGCCGACTACTGACAGCGGAGACACACCTTGAATTGGATGTTTGGGTTTTCTTTTTAAAATCTTTTTTCTTTTTTTCCTCCTCTCTAGTTCTTGTTTTGTTTTGATTTTTCTTGATTGTTTGAACACAGTTTCTAGTTTTTCGTTATTGTTGTTCTGTTCCTGTTTTTAAATTTTCCTTTTCTTTCTCACCTGTCTTCTTCACCAGTTTCCTAAAGTTTGTCCTCCAGCCTTGCTTCTGATCTCTTCCTCTTCTATTTCTGTTTTTTAGCCCCTAACCTCTTTAGATCTTCTCCCCTAAGGGTAAAAATGCCATACGGAGGGCTACAGTTTGTCATTTTCTAGGCTGTATTTGATGCTATTGATATTGTTGATTGTGCTACTTTAGCCAAGGGGACATAATTGTGCTACTTGGCTGTTACTCCTGGTATACTGAAAACAATGGACTTCCATTCACGATACAGGCCTTAACTGAATCTCAGAATGAGGAACTAAACAAAGCTGCCACTTGTGTGCTTTATAACTGCAAAAAGATAACTGAGAAATTATCTTTAAGCCTAGGAGAGTATTCGTTTGATGAAAATGAACAGAATGATTAAAGAACATAAATGTGAAAGAAAAGAATCTTGAAGAGCACTGGAAAACAGCAAAGGAAATCCTGCACAGAATAGACCTGCTTGAAAGAGAAGAAAATGAGGAAAATAGAAGAATATTTCATCCATGAAAGTAAATATTCAGGATATACTGAAACATCTCTATGCAGATACTGTTGGAAGTACCACAGCAGAAAACAAGGATAAAAGCCAACCTAGACAACTCCAGAGCTATAAGTCTCATGGGGTCATTTCTAAGGCTTACGCAAATGATAACCAAACAAAAACCCTGTTAAAGAATGCAGATCCAGTTAATGAATGCTATATGGACAGTGGACAAAATAAACTTTGCATAAAGCCACTTGGAGGTGTGATCAAAACCTACATGAAGAAACGACTTTGAACAAAAAGAATTTTCTTTCTCAATCAAGTGACCATGCTTTTAAACATCCAACTCTCCTTGTCAAGAATAGAAAGAAGCAGTTACCAGAAACAGATCCATTTACATTATGTTTGGACATAATAAAAGAAATTGTCAATTTTCTAGCAACTGACAATTGTTCCAAAATGTTGAATTATAGATGCTCGAGTTGCACAGCAGTAGGAAAACCCCTGAATAGCTGAAAATTTACCAAGCCCTTGCACTCTTGCCCTTACCAATGTGATCATCACAAAGTCACTGTGGAAGTTGAAGATAGATATAAAAATGAACTAAGGAAATCACTTATCTGTAGCAAAAGTAGTTAATTCAGCAGCTTTATAATTATGTCTATACCTTGTGAACTATCAGTATTAACTACATTAAAAACTAGTAGTCAAATTTTTAAAAAAAGCTACAGGTACATCAGTTGCCCATGAGCTAGCATAACAATCAACAAGTGGGATGTCTTCTTATTAAAAAGCTTCTGTACAGCAAGAAAAACAAAGTGTGAAGAGATACTTCATGTGTGAAGTGTGAAGAGATAACCCACAATGTGGGAAAAACTTTTCACCAGCTGTTCCTCAGACAAAGGCCTACTATCTAGAATATATAAAGAACTTAAATAAAAATCAGACCCCCAAATTTAAAGACCCAATCCAAAAATGGGCATCTAAAATGAACAGACATTTTTTCAGAAAAAGAAGTAGAAATAGCAAATAAACACATGAAAAAATGTTCAACATCACTGGTCATTTGAGAAATGCAAATGAAAACAATGCTGAGATCCACCTCACTGCAGAAAGGATGGCTGCTATCATGAAATCAACCAACAACAAATGCTGGCGGGGCTGTGGGGAAAGAGGAATCCTGCTCCACTGCTGGTGGGAGTGGAGACTGGTGTGACCACTGTAGAAAGCAGTATGGAGATTCCTCAAAGAACAAGGATTAGAGTCCCATTTGACCCAGCTCTTCCCCTGCTGGGTATCCTCCCAAAGAATTAAAAGAATCATACCATAGTGATATATGTGCACCCATGTTCATAGTAGCACAATTTGGGATAGCTAAAACTTGGAAGCAGCCCAGTTGACCATCAGTAGGAGACTGGATAAAGAAAATGTGATTTTTTAATAAAATGGAATAAAAAGGATAAATTAGGGAAGTTTATAGCTAACTGGATGCACCCTGAGGCAATACTCTTAAATAATATAAATGGGACACACGTGTAAACATCGAATAGTTTCTCTAGTGTAACTAGAAACTGCAAGTGTAAATAAGGACTAAAAGGTCTAATAGATAATGTGAAATAGGAGGAAAAGGGACAAAGAGGAAAGGGAAATGGGAGAGGTAGTAGAAAGGAAAGAAGGAAATGGAATCAATAAGAGAAAATGAAAAATAATGAAAACAAAGTCTTTGTAGGGAGGGAGGGAGGGAGGTATTGAAGGGAGGGCAGGGGAATGGGAAAAAATAAGAACCAAGAGTGATTATGTAAAGGTACAAATTTCCAATAATGAATGTCATTATATTGTATACATTAAATGTACCAATAAAATTCATAAAAGTTTTTTAAAAAGCTACAGTTACAAATTCCCAGTGATAAATGTGATCATAATATATATCTAAAATGTACCAATAAATTTAATGTATTTAAAAAAAAAAAGAATAATCTTAGCCAGGCATGGCAGCATGTGCCTATGATCACAGCACTCAGGAGGTAGAGGCAGGAGGACTGCCTCAAGATCAAGGCCAGCCTGGACTACATAACAAGATCTTGTGTGGGGGAAAAACAAAAAAGAATAAATCTCATGGTGGTATGTATCTGTGACCTCCGCTACTTGGGAAGCTGAGACAAGAGATTCCAAGCTCAAGGCCAGTGTGGGCATCATAGCAAGATCCTGTCTTTTATAAAGTTAAAAAAAAAAAAAGGGATAGGGATCTAGCACAGGGGTAGTTTGCTTGCATAGCATGTGTAAGTCCTGTTACTAGGTTTGATCCTCGGTAGCAAGAAAAAATAATCTTAGTTTTCAAACTTGTTCATTTAATAGTGTTCCGTAAGTAATCTTATATTTGACAAACCATGCATTTTTCTCCTTTCAAAATGAGGTTATTTGTAATTAATCACACATCTATCTATCTATTGTTCATTCCCTTCTCTAACCCACTTCCATATAAAAACATTTTCTGTTTCCTGGAACACATAATATATTTTAGGCAGCAGACTCTAAAAAAAAAACAAAATCTACTTTCAAAACTCTGAGCACTTATTATCCTGTCCTTTCCTTCTGCCCAAACTATATGCCAAACACTAACTCCCAATTGCTTTGGACTTCAGAATCCCTGTCCCAAAGCCACTTAACCTAACATGATTAATACCTCCTGTAATGATTAATATCTGCCTTTAACACCTCCCTCCTACCTCACCACTGCAAGTAACTACAATAATAAGTTTCACCAGAGTCACCGCAAGCTGTCAAAAGGGCAGACACGAACATGGGAAATGCTCTCTCCTTTGAACACATAATCTCTCTGTGCCAACGGCTTTTGGAAGGGCGGTGCCTGTTTTCTTGGCTCTCTGACCGTGTAAGTTGACCTGGAACACAAAACGCTTGTCCCACGGTCACTGACAAAGCGTGAGCTGCTGTAATCCCACTCTCCGCGAAATCATGGTGGACCTTCTGCGGCCAGCACTGCGAGCTTGAACAAGGCCCTGGCTAGGAGAGCCCCTGGCAGCCGGGGAAGCCTGCTTACTGTTTGTGAGGAGGGACGGACAGGGCACCGTCCGTGTCTCTACGCACGAGGCACCCTTCCTACGTCCCCAGCCACAGCGGGGCTCCTGGAGCAGAGCAGGAGGAGCAGACGCGAGGTCCTGCGTCCCACTCACATTCTCTAAACTGTCTTCCCCTTTCTGTTGTATTTTGCATTTTTCCCTTCCTCTTTCTAGTCCATGCCTCACATATAGCTTCCAAAACCCACGTGTAAGTGAAGCTTATCTGCAAGGCAGAATGAAGCCAACACAGAGAGAGAAGGTGTGTGAGAGAGAGGTGTGACAAGATCGGTGGGACCCCAGCCACCCCGTCTTTCCCAGTTATAGCCAATCACATATTCCTTTCCCATCTACACTTAGCAAGTTGGGTAACCAAAGACATCCTAAGAAGCACACGAGACCCCCACACTGCTTGAGATAAAATAGTATGTTTGTCTTATTTCAGCCATAGACTTCCCATTCCTGTTGTCTTTGGACTCCCCCTTTTAAAGGCCACCCCGTTACACTACCCCAGCCAGGCATGGAACAGTCAATCACCTTGCCTTTCTTCTTCGGAGACTGAGCTTCTGTGTGGAGATAATGTACTAAGAAAATCCAGGTCCATCCACAAGGCCATTGCTGGGTTGTCATGAAAATGACTACTTCTATCCCTTTCACAGCACTGGGGGGTGGTAATTTATCTGTTATCAACCAGGCAGCAGAGCAGGCTGCAAAAGCAAACCCAGGCTGTACTTACCTAGCCTTAGAGAGTCACTGCTACTCCCCCTCATCAGTCTCATGGTGCTGTTGTTTGGCTGGCTTTGGTTGGGAAGGGAGGCAGGGGATGGATCACTCACCCTCTCCGGTATCTGTCCAGCTCATGCAGCACCGTGTGGTCACAATACTCAAACACCAGGTGCAGCCTCCGCTTTCTCCTGAAGACCTCCAGCAGGTTGACCAGGTTGGGGTGCTTGAGTTGCTGCAAACCCCAAAAGGCAAGGTGCTAAGTCTCAGCAGGGGAAGACAGTTTTCTCTAAATTTTGTCCCACACAAAGAAAGCCGTTTTCCTGTGCAAGGTTCATTTCTTGGCTCGAAGAAGGCTGTCACGAGCTTTATCTTACCTGTCTTTCTGGGCTCTTTGTCAATAGCCTGCAAGTGAAAAATAATTATAACCTAGGTAGTTGGCGAACACAAAGAATTTGGAAAAGAAAAAGGCTGGTAAAGAAAAGAGGATGAAGAGAGAAGGGAGATTACAAGTCAACACAAACTCAGCTTTCAAGGTGCGGATCAAATGTCCTTTCTTGGGTCTCCCTGGATTTCCCCAGACCAGTTTGGTGCCCGGGGTGTCTCCAAGTCCCCCTGAAGTCTGTCATTTTCACAATCACTAAATCATTCTAAACAGTAAGTAATAAGCAATCCTTAGTAATTATTGTACCATTCGCTGTTTGACGGCTTTAGGTGTCCACAGATACCTACAGAGACATAAATAAATCCAAGAGGATATAAGCACCATGGCACCCGGCCTGTGTTCTCTGTTGTGCCTCCAGAGCTGGCTTTGTGCATAGCATAGCAGGCTTTCCATAATGACATGTGACTGAGGAGGAGACAGGATTCCAAGGCTCTCGGCACACTTCGGAACAGGCCGCTGAGGAAGGCCGCCCGATGGGATGTGCTGAGAAGTGGCATTAGAAGAGGGCAGAAATGGATGCTGGCTGGGCTGAGACAAATCTCATACTGGGCTTCCTGGCCATGCTGTACTCAGTCCTATCAGAAACACTGCCACTGCGCACTGACCTCGCTTGTTCTGAAGAAGAAAGACTTGTACTAAGGAAGACAAAAACTCATAGGAAAATACAACCGCAGATTTTCTTTCTGCAGTGCCTATTCTTGTTTTACTCACCTCCTAAATCGCCACTAATGTCCATTTTATTCATTTCATTATTTTAACGGTACTCTGCTCCCCTTTTCCCAAATATTCTCTGATAGTATCACCAAATAATTTTCCATTCAGAAGTTGCCTCACCATATTACCCTCTCCCTTACTTTAACAATTGTACTAAATGCATCCAGCATAAAACTTACCACCTTAACCATTTTTTAAAAGTGCAGTTCAGGGATACCAAGTGTATCCATAGTGTACAACTATAACCACATCCATCTCCAGAACTCTTTTCATTTGCAAAACTGAAACTCTGTGCCCCTTACACAACGCGCCCCCCAGCTTCCTCTCCATTCACTGGCAGCCACCATTCTACTTTTGATACCTGTGACTTTTCTTTTCCTTTTTATTTATTTATTTATTTTGAGACAGGGTCTTGCTATGCAGTCCAGGCTGGCCTCGAACTCACTGTGTAGCCCAGGCTGGCCTCAAACTAGGGGCGATCGTCCTGCCTCAGCCTCCCAAGTGCAGGGATCACAGGTATTCACCACGATGCCCAGGTCTTTTTTT